TTTCAATTGTTCCGAGGATCAAGATAATCAGACGCAGATCCTGCACTCCGTTGTTTGGTTTACCCACCGTGAAAAAAGGCAACGCTTACTTACAGAGGGGATCAAAATGCTGACATGAGTCTCATTAACCCTTTTGGTGCCACAAATTGACACAATGTATTGGAGAGAAAAGAAAAACACAGGGATGTAAGGTGCATACTGTACGCATATGTTAACATCACAGGCAGGGCCAGATTTCCCACGAGGCCAACCAAGACCCGGCCTCGGGGCAGCAAGGAGCAGAGGGGCAGCAGGGGTGTGGAATTCCTATCTCCCGGCGCCCGGGGCATGCAGTTCCGGGCGCCGAGCCGGGAGTTTTTTTTTCTACATTTACCTCTGCTTTGGCAAGCCAAGCTAAATGTACAGCGGGGAAGCCGCCGCTCGTTTTGTACAAGTGATCTCGGCGATTGAGACCACTTGTATGCAGCCTGCAGGTCTGCCATTCTCTATTGGGGGGGTTGGCGGGTAGGGGGGCGCATTGAGGAATCTTGCCTTGGGGCAGCAGGGAGAGTAAATCCGGCCCTGATCATAGGGAATCCTAAAACACTAAAGAGACTCCCAGAAGTACCTGCTTTTTCCCTACACATTGTTTATTACAAGCACTGTTACAGGAGTTGATAAGAAAATGTACATTATTCTACCTATCTTGAGCTCTTGCTTTCTATAGATGTGTCTAGTACAGTTCCATCGGTTTTCATAAATACAAAAAGTATTATCTTAGCTCCATCTCCCAGAGATGTAAATAGTATTACACTGCTATGCTCCATTCATTTTAAAAAAAGGTACAATAAGTACAATAAGTCGGTCGTATTAATAGTGCAAACATATCTTAAACTATATCTAAAGCCAAAACATATTTTTATTAGAAATGGGTTAAGGAACCCAACCTCTGTTGGCTTCTCGATGTTGTTGGTCTTGCCCCATTGGGGAGATTTTCCCTTACTTCCTGTCTTGCAGACCCAACAGGAACTGGAACAGGTTTCGCAATGGGAGATTTCTTTATACCTCCTGCTCCAGTAACAACTGTAACATTTTGGATTAACCATCATTTCCTGTCCCAGTGACAGGTCACCAGCACAAAAAGAGAGGGCGAAGACTGCAATAAAAACCTGACAGTCGGTCTAAATGTTAAACCGCCACACCCAACATTAAACAAAAGTTATGGCTTTTTGAAAACTCATTAACTCCTTTTGTTTTATAGTAGGGATGCACCGGTACCGTTTTTTTTGTTATCGAGTACCGATAACTTTTTTTTCTTGTACTCGCCGATACTAAATACTGGTACCGCAAATCCCATTAAGGGACGAGGTAGCATGGAGCCGGTGTCTGGCCAGTCAGGAAGCCGGAGGCAAGTAATAACTCACCGTTCGCGATCCCGATCAATCAGGAAGCTGGGCTGAGAGGGGTTCCAGGCCAATGAGGAAGCTAGGCGGCGTGTAATGGCTTGCAGGCCGCAAGCCATTACACGCCGCCTAGCTTCCTCATTGGCCGGGAACCCATCTCGATGCTCGCTTAGGGTGTCAGTGACGAGGGAGCGGGCTTCTCGGCCAATCAGGAATACAGGGGGCAAGTTCGCTACATCCTCCCTTGTCACCAGGTGACCAACGACTCGCAGCCCTGATTGACCAGCTTCTCAACCAATCGGGAAGCCGTGCGGCGAGTCATTACACGCTGTCTGGCTTCTTGATTGGCCAGGAAGCCATCTCTATGCTCCCTTGTCACGTGATGAGGAAGCATGGAGCCAACTTCCTAGCCAGTCAGGAAGCCGGGCAGCGTTTAATGACTCGCTGCCCGGCTTCCCGATTCCAGAAGTTCCAGTATTGGGCTAAGCATCGGGAGCATTTGGGTGAGCACGAGTACTCACTCAAATACTCGGTATCGGTGCATCTCTAGTTTATAGATATCTTCGGGTGTAAATAGTATGACATATCCTAGCTCCTTCATTATCCAGGGGTGTAAATAGTATGACATATCCTAGCTCCTTCATTATCCAGGGGTGTAAATAGTATGACATATCCTAGCTCCTTCATTATCCAGGGGTGTAAATAGTATGACATATCCTAGCTCCTTCATTATCCAGGGGTGTAAATAGTATGACATATCCTAGCTCCTTCATTATCCAGGGGTGTAAATAGTATGACATATCCTAGCTCCTTCATTATCCAGGGGTGTAAATAGTATGACATATCCTAGCTCCTTCATTATCCAGGGGTGTAAATAGTATGACATATCCTAGCTCCTTCATTATCCAGGGGTGTAAATAGTATGACATATCCTAGCTCCTTCATTATCCAGGGGTGTAAATAGTATGACATATCCTAGCTCCTTCATTATCCAGGGGTGTAAATAGTATGACATATCCTAGCTCCTTCATTATCCAGGGGTGTAAATAGTATGACATATCCTAGCTCCTTCATTATCCAGGGGTGTAAATAGTATGACATATCCTAGCTCCTTCATTATCCAGGGGTGTAAATAGTATGACATATCCTAGCTCCTTCATTATCCAGGGGTGTAAATAGTATGACATATCCTAGCTCCTTCATTATCCAGGGGTGTAAATAGTATGACATATCCTAGCTCCTTCATTATCCAGGGGTGTAAATGGTATGACATATCCTAGCTCCTTCATTATCCAGGGGTGTAAATGGTATGACATATCCTAGCTCCTTCATTATCCAGGGGTGTACATAGTATGACATATCCTAGCTCCTTCATTATCCAGGGGTGTACATAGTACGACATATCCTAGCTCCTTCATTATCCAGGGGTGTAAATGGTATGACATATCCTAGCTCCTTCATTATCCAGGGGTGTAAATAGTAGGACATATCTGGGGGTTAGCCACACCCTAATCAAGTAAACACTCAATCCCCCCCTATCCATGCTAGACAGCAAGGCTGAGGGAAATCCCCACCGGGCTGTAGTATTACGACAGCAGTGGGTGTGCGGAAAATTTTTGGATCAGCTCCTTTGACAAATGCTTGAAATCGAAGCAGGTGTATGGCCAGCTCTTTCAGTTCCAAATTGTGTAAAAAGCGCAAATTACCTTTTATCAGAGAACTCCTTGTCAATCTCTTCCAGAGAACGTCCTTTGGTCTCCGGAATGAAGTAGTAAATAAATATTATTGCAAACGCTCCCATCAAGCCATACAGGAGGAAGGTCCAGGAAAGACCTATAGATTCTGTATATGGAAAAAAAAAAGATAAAACAATGTATCAATATTTACAACTTCTGCAGCTTTGTTATCCTATCCACTCGTAATACTAGTTTAATAAAAATGATTAACCCTTCCCCCCCCCCCTGCTTTCAGTGACCCCCACCTGGGTAATAGCATGCATGATACTCTCACTGCAACAAGGCCACCCCGCACATTAGTGCTTTAGAACCCCATCTTATTATAGCAATGACCGCGGGACGCCGTGCTACCCACACTCAGCTATTTAACCCCTAAGACCTGGAGGGGGTGGGGTCCCCACGTGCCCCACTCCACCTGTCGGCGACACGGCAGAGGGCACCCCAGAGTACCAACACCTACTGTCTACGTGGGGGCTCCAGCCTCCACCGACCATGTACCCGATGCAAATCGTTGCCCCATGTTTGTTCACATCTTACCATGTATTAATACGTTATATAGTCTTGACTAATGCATTATTGTACAAGATTGAACTTCATATCCATGTTCCTTGTTTCATGTTCTGTTATGTACACTTTTGCAAAACTGTTTAAAAAACTCAAATAAAGAATTTATTAAAAAAAAAAAAAATAAATTATCATATGTGATATATTATATAGGTAAGACTTGATGGACGTATGTCTTTATTCAACCCCAAATACTATGTAACTATGTAACTATATTCTGTTTTTTTGTTTTAGATACAAATTGATTATAGTGAAGTTTATGGCTGCACTTGTGCGGTTTCTCTATTGTGCGTAATTTACAGCAGCAACTGCGCAGCCACGTACGCGTATCTTTGCTCAGATTTTCCCTGCTCATCTCTTTGTCAACGCTCCGCCAATGTGTTCCTTACCGATAACATCCAGAAATGTCAATGTGATCAGCAGGTTGGCTGCCCAGTTTAAGCTGTTACAGAAGGCGAATGCCCTGCCTCTTATTTCTGGAGGGTAGATCTCGCTGAGGACCAGCCACGTCACTGGAGGAGATAAAAAGGAAAGATGCTACGATTGGAGGATGTAGATAAGAGACATTTGTACATTAGGCCACCCACAGACCAGGGGTAGGCAACCTCCGCACTCCAGCTGTTGTACAAACTACAAGTTCCATGAGGCATTGCAAGACTGTGACAGCTACAGGCATGGCTCCCAGAGACAGAAGCGCGATGGGATTTGTATTCTTGCCACAACTGGAGGGCCGAGCTTACTATGGGGAAAAGCCCTGACCCCATAGTTCTCCTTTAATAATCACACATTTCCATTGTCCAGGAAATTATCTTTAGATGATAATGAGCATGTCTGATACTTAGGATGGCGACTGCAAGTATCAATCACAAGGGTGGCACAGTTTATAGCCCAAATGTACTTTTTTTTTTCCCTCAATATTTTAAAAGTTTTAATAGAGTGCATAAGAATCTGAACTTCTGACTCTGCGAAAAGGGACACAAAGCCATATCAGCACCCCTTTATATGTGTATAAGTCTAACCTCTTGGCTTCACCAGCAAGACTGTCGCTATGATAAGGCAGTCTGAGGCTCTTGCCTAAGACGGCATCCGGGTAGTGTTGCGGCGTCCCAGGTTGCCAAGAGTTCTGTGGCTTCCCGCCCAGATCACTGATGTCGCCAATTGCCAGGAGCTGAGCAGGGCACTCTGGCTTGCATCCCCTGTGCTTCTGGCAACCACTGACTCCAGTGAGCTGGGTGGGATGTTGGACAGAGCAGGTGACAGTGTGGTCCGACATCAACACCCCCCCCCAACAAATCGGCACAACCACACACCTCCTAGGTGACCAGTCCCTACCAGCACTC